AACGTGGACGTACGTTGAGCTACCGCCAGGTAAGAAGGCAATTAAAAATAAGTGGGTGTTCGCTTTAAAGCGCAATACGAGCGGAGAAATTGAACGCTACAAGGCACGACTGGTAGCAAAGAGGTGCGAACAAAGCTTTGGTATCGACTACCGAGAAACTTTCTCCCCAGTAGTTCGGTACGCTACAATACGTATGCTGATGGCAATAGCGGTCGAAGAGAAGATGCACCTACACCAGCTAGATGTTAGCACGGCGTACTTGTACGGCGATTTAGATGACGAGATATATATGCAGCAGCCTGAAGGTTTTATTGACCAGAAACAACCAAGAAAAGTTTTAAAATTACAAAAGGCGATTTATGGCTTGAAACAATCTGGCGGGCAGTGGAACTTCAAACTCGACGAGGTCCTTAGACAAATTGGTTTTGTAGCATGCGATGATGAGCCCTGTTTGTATAAGCTGAATTCGGGGGATGAGTCGCAGTGTATGTTGACGACATGATCATTGCTTGCAAGAACATGTCAGAGCTGTGTAGGGTAAAGGCACTCATATCTGACAGATTCGACGTAGTAGATAAAGGCGCATTACAACATTTCCTAGGGATGGAAATCGAACGTGATGGCGAAGTTGGTTCTATTACCGTAAGTCAAAAGCAGTATATACGTGACTTGCTAATACAATACGGTATGGACAAATGCAAGAGTGTGGCGATTCCTTTGGAGAAGGGCTATCAAGTGGCATGCAATGAAAATTGCGTCAAAGCAGATGTAGCACAATACCAATCGCTCATTGGAGCACTAATGTATTTAGAGGTTACAACAAGACCTGACATCCTTCATTCGGTTTCGAAGCTGTCGCAAAGAAATAAAGACCCACACATGGAGCATATGACTGCAGCGAAGCATATCTTAAGGTACTTGCAAGGTAGTATGAGTCTTAAACTTTCTTACAGTGCAGGTGGCAAGCGTGTACAAGGTTATGTTGATGCCGATTGGGGAAGCGATTCCCATAATCGTAAATCGTACACAGGCTTCGTGTTCATGTATGGCAACTGCACTATATCATGGGAATCGAAGAAGCAGAATACAATCGCGTTAAGCAGCACAGAGGCTGAATATATGGCCGCATCAAATGCCGCCAAGGAAGCAGTATATTTGCAACGCTTACTGAAAGAAATCGGTTTTTGGAAAGACGATGCAGTTGTGCTACACATTGACAATCAAGGGCCGGAGAAGTTAGCAACCAATCCAGTGTATCACAACCGCACTAAACATATCGATGTTCGATATCATCACATAGCGAGTCGAGAGAAAGATTGCATTAAGGTACTGGCCCACAGAACAGATGACGGCGGATATATTTACGAAGAATTTGTCGAAGTCTAAACATGTACAATTTACCAAGCAAATGAATTTGTTGTAAATGAATATTTGAATGTTTGTAAAAGAGGAATCCACGTTGAGGAGGAGTGTTAAAGTCTGGCATCACCGCAACAACGTGTATTCTCTTTGAGTTTACTTTGTACTGACATTCTTATGATGTACATACAATTTTCTATTCTTACTTCTAATTAAACTTCTGATCTAAAAACACTTAAACGCGCGAGTTTTATTAAATGCAATATTAATTTTTTTTTATAACTATGGATTTAATTATAAAATTTTATTTATTATTGGTTTTTCAAGTAAAAGTTAAAAAATTAACAGTTGTGTTTGCTTTTGATACTTTTTCTGCTTGGCAACTGATACTTTTTTCAAGCTCGCGGCATCGCTGCCAGTTGGTGAATATTGATTGGAAAATTCCAGGTCATACACTTGTGGTCAGTTGATTAATTTAAGTGACATTTTGACCAGTTTCGGCTATTTTTCTTTTGTTTATTTAATGTTTATATTTTTTTCATAAACCAGCACCACATAAATCTAAATTTCTCACTACAAAAATAATAAAAATTAAACAAGCTTTACCAACTACACCCAAAAATTTTAAACTCTTTACTAAAAATGTTTAGAAAATTTTTCAATTTTAGGTACTTAAAAATCTTAAAATTAAACGGTGAAAATGTTCTTCTTGCCAAAACGAAAAAATTTGGTGTAATAAAATTATTGTGTCACCGAATGAAAGAAAATTACATTGAGTAAAAGATGACTATGATTTGAAAAGCTAAAATTCCATTTTTTACAATTTTTATTGGCACACTTGAAGTTCATTGTTATATACATACATGAAGAAAAGAATATACATATAATATGAGCACAAGGAATACTGTGTAAAAATTTTAAGCTCCCATTAGAGCCTTCGATTTCCTTAGATTGCTCGAGAAGCAATTTCTCGCGAGGTTCGCTTTCTCACGAGATTCTCGTGTATCGAAAAACTCGTTATACTCGCGTGCTTCTCGATGATCAATTTAAGGCAGCGTATTTAATTTAGGCTATTTAAACCCTGAGCTGTTGAATTTCTTTCAAGCGCAATACTCGTCGCTCTCCAGAATATCAACCATGTGCATGGTCCTTTCCAGTGAGGTCTGTATTGTCAAACCATATGGAGGAGCTTTATAAATACCAGATAACACTGTTCCTCTCCATTAATTACTTTTACTCACGCTCTAAATTACTAAATTCTTCTTATATGCACAAAGGTTTTTTTTTGACAATAGAATTTTTAACATTTACACATACATTTTTTTCTTATTTTGGTTTTAATACTTTCGGTATGCTCTTACATACGTATGTCTCAATAACAGGC